TGATGTAGGGTGCTGGGTTTATTCAGTCATTAAATTTCCCACCCAGGCCAGGTTATTATACCTGCGCCCTCTCCAGGGCTGTGCAGGCCTGAGGAGGAGAGCCCTGTGGTTCCTGCAGGCCCCTCTGTGTCCATATAGCCCATGTGTCCATCCCGTTGATGCTGGAGCCATCTTAGAGTTTCTGCTTTCCAGCCCCGCCAGATGACTAGCGCGCAGACTCCCTTGTCACAGCCTGTAGTTCTCTTCCAGGAAGCTCTCCACATTCAACACGTTCATGCGGAGCCATGGATACAACATTGAGCAGATATGGAGAGACATCGAGGACGTGATTATCAAGACGATCATCTCAGCCCACCCCATCATCAAGCACAACTACCACACCTGCTTCCCCAACCACACTCTCAACAGCGCCTGCTTTGAAATCCTGGGCTTTGACATTTTACTGGACCACAAACTCAAGCCCTGGCTGCTGGAGGTAGGGGTGTCTGGGTGAGGTTGGAGACTGCCCCTGTCCCTGGGGTCTGCCAGCCTCAGGCTCACCCCTCTGCCCGCCTCGCTCAGCTAAGATGTCTTCAGTCCACTTTGCCAGGACAGTTCCTTCCTCCGTGCTGGCTGCCCTGGCCTCGCCCTTAGCCGAGAAGTGGCCACCAGAGGGAGGTAGACGGCCGGGAATTAGAGAATCCCCTGTGCCTTCCGGAGCCCGGTCCAGACTTGGAAATGCCAATCTGATCACAGGCACAGACGGATTCTAAATACAGCTCTCCCTTATGTAAGAGTCGCCAAAGGTGGGTTGACGATGTTCAGTATCCAAAGGACACGGCCTCACCTGGCTCTCAGCCCTGGACGACTCAGTTCCATGTACAAGGAGAACAGCGGCTTGGTAGTGGGTGGGAAACCACCCAGTGAATTTCCTGCCTCCCCTAGACAAGCGGAGGGGGTGGGGAGGGGGCAGGGCAGGGGAGGAGGAAATGGCCGCCTCTCACCCTGACTGGGTTTGTGCTTGGGCAGCCCTCGAGGACAACCGGTCATCATAGGGAATGGGGCTGAGAGGGTAATGCAGTCAGAGGGACTAGTGCCAGCTGCCAAGGACAGTCAGCCTGCAGAGAACCCAGAATTACACACCAGATTTCAGGGGTTTCCTCTCTTTCCCTGTGTGTGTGTGTGTGGGGGGGATGGGGTGGGAAGAATATAGCTGTTTAAAGTTCTTTTTTAAAAAAGATTTTATTTATTTATGCATATAAGAGCTGGGGTGTAGGTCAGAGGTACAGGGGGTGAGAGGATTCACCAGAGACAGAGTGGGGAGCAGAACAGGCAGATCTACTGAAATACACTGCTGAGGGGAGCAGCAGGAGGTCAGGAGAGGTCTGCCATGTCCTGTGGCTACTGATACCGTCATTGTGCTGAAACTTAATCCTTTGCACCCCCAGAGAGGCCCCTTTTTAGAGTTCTCACCCAAAGATCAGAATAAGCCACCTGCAACAAGCCTTCAGAAACTGCTAGAAATCCTCAAATATCACATAGTGCCTCTGAACAGTATGTGTGAGTTTTTCTGTGGGCAGGAATGAGTCCTCTACCTCCTCCTCCCCTCAATCCCAGTCAGGATCCTCAATGCACTCCTCCTTTCTGATCCTTACCTCCTGGTCCTCTGCTTCCCACTCCCACCCCACCTCCACCCCAGCTCTATGCGATGCTGGCACACAGAGAGCTCCTACACCAGATAGAGGGGAGCCAAAGAAAGGCTCCATGCCCCCTCCCCACTTCCATGCTTCTTAAGAAAAAAGACCTGAAGTAAATAACCGGAACTGGAGGGGCCCACCTCCTCTATTCCTCACTGTGGCTCCTGCCTACACATCCCCTCCCTTTCCCATCAGCTCATTTTGGAAAACAGGGCCGCAAGGTGGGCCTTGGCACCTCCCTGGAGGTGACAGTTTGACCTCACTCCTTCCAGCCTCCAGCTCCTGTCCTGCCCTCACAGGTCAACCACTCTCCTAGCTTCTCCACCGACTCGTGGTTGGACAAAGAGGTGAAGGACAGTCTGCTGTATGACACCTTGGTCCTGATCAACCTGGGAAGCTGTGACAAAAAGAAGGTCTTAGAGGAGGAGAGACAACGGGGACGGTGTCTGCAGAAATGTCGTTCTCGAGAGAACAGGTACAGGGGTGCTGCCCCCTGCCCCCAAACACCTTGTCCGCTCCCAGAAGCCCCCTTTGCTATGACCGTTCTGCTCCCAATGAGACTGACTTGTCTCAATCCATATTTTGGCTTCACCATCCTTAAGTATATGACTTTCCATCAAGTCTCCGAGCCTAGTGTTCTTCCCTTGACATGGAGGGAAAGCTGTATCAGGGTGTCGGGGGAATCAATTGAGATCATACGTGTAAAAAGCTATCATAGTGCCTGGTGCCATAATTTGTGTTCAGGACTATTTAAATATCTTGCCTAGAATTGGTGGGGGAAAGGGAGTTAGTTCTAATGAATGAAAGTCCTATTTGGAAAATTCATTTATTTTTGTACATTGTGACAGAGACAGTTTAACTGAATATCCCTGTCTTCCCCCAAACAGGAGATTGTTATAAGCAACTGTATATAAATAATAGATATGAGTTTTTAAATACCATATGGCGATTAAGGGAGTGACAATATAAAAAGTAAAACCATCCCTTTATTTTTATAAGAAACCAAGATTTGTCTGTCCCACCCCTCCAGTGTGCTGGCAGGAGAGGAGGCTTTGGCGGGGGTAGGTGTGTGGGGGCAATGAGGGGGCAGCATTAGCCCTTCAGCTGGGCTTGTTCCACCAGAGATTTTTTTTTTTTTTATTTTTTAAAGATTTATTTATTTGTACATACAGAACTGGGGTACAGGCCAGAGGCTCAGGGGTGGCGAGAGGCTTCACCAGAGACAGAGTGGGGAGCAGAACAGGCAGATCGACGAAGTACACTGCTGAGGGGAGCAGCGGGCGGGCCAGGAGAGGTCTGCCTCACCATGTGGTCTCCTCCGTGGTCTCCTCCGGGGCAGGTGGGAATCGAACTCATGCAGAAGGCTTCAGCTTCTCAGTGCAGTGCTTTAACCCTCTGCGCCACCAGGGAGGGCCCCACCAGAGATTTTGCTGCCCGAAGCCTGAGGGTGGTCGGGAGATGCCTTTGTTGTCTTTCAGGCACCCGCCCTCCTCCCCAGACATCCTGACCCTTTGGGAATGAGCTTCCAGAACCTGGGCGCTAGCCTCTGTGTTTGGATGTGCACTGTCCTCCCTGTGAGGAGGGTGGTAGGCTGGTAGCATGAGGGGTTATGGGCCTATTCTTAGAGCCAAGCCCAAGCAAGACATGCAAAAGGAACTGGCTCTCGCCAGGTCACCCTGCTGTCGGGTGGCACATCTGACTGCCAGCCCAATGGGAGGGCGACTTGGGAGCGGGCGCAGCGGCCTGCCTGGGCTTCCCTTCAACTCTGAGGAGGAGGCAGAGGATAGCAGGGGCTTCCTTGACTGGGTCTCCTGTCTTGATTTGGCCTGGGGTGTCTGAGCAGCTCTTGGCTTCCCTGCTGAAAAGGGGGCTTTCCGCTCCTTCTTCCCTGACCTCCGCCTCCCCAGGGGGCTGTGAGGAAGAATGAGATCATCGCCACTCATAAAAGCTCATCAAGCTCAGCCTAGAAGCCCTCAAATTTAGCAAAACGAGAGCTTGCTGAGCTTGCCGGTTCTCCAGAGAAGAGTAATAATGGCTGTGAATGGGGAGGTGGCGACAGTCTGCCTCCTCGGAATTGAGCCGAGGGGGTTTTACTTGTGTCAGGGGAGAACTTGGTGAGCCCTCAGAAAGACCGTTCTCACCAGCACTTAGAGCATCAGGACACTGCCGTCCCCGGAGGTCCAGGCTCTCCTTTCAAGAAAAGGTTCGCACATTTATTTAGTCAGAGCTGGCTGACCACCCTGGCAGGCCTGGCCTCCATCTGGACCCGGGTGACATGTGGCTCGGCCACAGCCCCTCCAAGCTTGCCCCTAGAAAACCCAGTGGCAGCCCTGTGTTCTGTTCCACAGGATTGAGGAAGTCAGGAGCTTCCGAGCCATGCGGGTAGAGAAAACAGAGAAGTATGAGAAGGAACACTGCAGGGGCTTCCGTCTGATCTACCCCAGTCTCGTCTCCGACAAGTATCAGAAGTTTTTCCAAGACAACAACTCCCTCTTCCAGAATACTATTGCTTCCAGGGCTCGGGAGCTATATGCCCGGTAGGAAGGCTCCCGGGGGTGGGGGAGCGCCCTGGGGAGGGCTGAGGTGGGCTGGTGCTGAGGGGGGTTGAGCTGGACCCCATGGGCAGCAGGCCTGGGCTGGCAGGGGGGCCTCTGAGCTTCAGCCCCAGCCTCCAAGTTGCCGGGGCCTCTCAAAGACCAGAAACGTAAACTCCCTGGGCCGAGGTGTTGTTGAGTAGCTGAGTGGCAGTTTCTAGACGCTCACCTTACCTCGAGACAGCTCCACCCTGCTCCAGAACCCCCAGCCCTCAGCGCTGCCTGGTGGCCGCGGTATGAAATCTGCGAGCTGGAAGAGACTCATCCCATCCAGGGCAGGCCTCACCCAGCTCCGCATCTGAGGGCAGGTGGCCAGAGTGAGAAAGGCGCCTGATGGTGACGGACAGGGCCAGCGCCCGCGTCTTCTGACGCCTGGGCTGTGTTGCTCTCATTACCTCATGGGCGAGAGGGGCCCTGCCTATGCTGCGCTCCAAGGTGGGAGCTGCTAAGTTTCCCCCCTAGAGAGCTTCCTTGTATGGATCTGGCCCACTGGGAAGTGGGAGGGAGATGGGGGAGGTGTAGACTGGGGTGTTGCCCTCTCGCTGCCCGGCTCTCCTTAGATGCTGGTCCCCAGACTGGGAAGGGTAGTAGTGGGGGGACCACCCTCGCTCTGCTTCCTGCTCTGTGACCTGCAGCCCTCTGTGCAGACTGTGCATGTGGGGGCACTTGGAGCACAGGTCCTCTTCACCCCTCGAGGAGCATGTCCACACGCAGAGCCCACCCCTGCGTGACCCTCACTGTTCTTCACTGGGCAGGCAGCTGATCCAGGAGCTGAGACTCAAACAGGAGAAAAAGTCCTTCCATATGAAAGAGAAGAAGGTGGAGCTGCAGGGGGAGTCAGTGGGCGAACAGTCGAGAGGGAAGAGCGTGAGGAGCTGGAGACAGCAGCAACGGCAGAAGTTCAAGACCACCGCCCACACCGCCAAACAAGTAAACCCCGATGGGAGGGGAGCACGCCTTCCCGGCACCCTTCCCCGGCTGGGGCCGCTCCGTGGCGGGGTGCTGAGGAAACCACTACTCAGAGCCCAGACGCACTGAAGGAACGGGCTGATGCAGGGCGGCCACACGAGGGGGCCCCCGAAAGTCACGAGGAGCCCCATCCAGGCAGAGAGCACTCTCTGGTCTGGACTTCTTGCCCCCTCCACTAGAGCAAAAGTAGCAGGGAGGTCAGAAGAACCCCCTGTTTAGGGAGCAGGCTTCGGCACAACCTGCGCTCATGGGCCCCAACTCCAGCTTGGGTTGGAACATGACTCCTCCACAGGCCAGGGCACAGCTGACAGAGGTGGCACAGGGAAGAGTGTGGGGTGGGGAGACAGAATTCCAGGGGAGTCTGACCACAGAGTGCCGACCTCCCCCCACCGCGCCCGCCCGGCTGTGGGCCCACTGGCCAGTGGCCCTCTGGTCTCGGTCTTTGGATTCCCTCTTCTCTGCCTACCTCTGTCTTCCTGCTCAGTGGAAAGATTCAGTTGACTTCTCCGTCCACCTCCTTTTTCTCAAAAACTCACCTAAAAGGACAGTATTAGAGCAAATTGTTTATATATGCGAGTGTATAACTTTGTTAGGGCAGTAGGCTCCTTGAGAAACGAAAAAAGCTATGGAATTTCTTGCCATAAAGTACATAAAGATACAATTGTAAAACCGCAATTTCAAGTGACTCAAGGACCCCTTGAAGCCATCCGTGAGCCCTCTATGAGTACTTGAACCCAGGTTAAGAGCCCCAAATTAGAGACTGTACCTGTCACTTTCCTTCTCTTCTTCACACCTATCTTTGGGTGCAGATGAATCTGGAAGTGGACAGAGCTGGGTTCCCACAGACTATGTGTTTGGTTTTCTCCAGCCAGTGACATTAGTGACCCACATACCTGAATTGTGCTTGAATGTCAAAGACATAAAGAGAAAGGACAGCAGCCTCAACCAGGAGGCCCTGAGGAGGGAGACTGGCTCCACGCTCCACAAGCTTTCATCTGTGCGGCATTACCGATCTGTACCTGACCTAAGGACCTCAAGCCTTCTCAGTGGCTCTGGGCTGGAGCCCAATAAACCCAACTCCAGAGTAAGGGAGGCCAGGTCTACTTCTGCAGTGAACATCTTCAGCACTATGGTGAGTGAGCTCCACCTCCCAAGAGGGTAGAGATGGGAGGGAACAGTGGGCTCTTATTTCCAGCCCTTTCACCGCCCATGATGTACCACTGCCCTTTGAGGGAGCCACTTAACCTCCCTAGGCCTCCACCTCCCCCATTGGTGAAGCCTGACTTGTGGAATGGCACACACACCTGCTAGGCATGGAGGTCTGGGAGGGCTTTTCGAAAGCTCTTGTCAGGTATCCCTCTCCTTCGGCAGGCCACCACCAAATTAATTGTCTAGGGCTGCCGTAACAATTTACCATAAATTGGGTGGCTTAAGCAACACAAATTTATTCTCTCATGCTTCTAAAGGCTAGAAGTCTGAAAACAAGGAGTCCATAGGGCTTTGCTCCTTCTGAAGGCTCTTGAGAAAGGAACTTTCCTTGCTTCTCACTAGATCCTAGGGGTTGCTGGCAGTCCCTGGTGTTCATGTCCTGTGGCAGCATAGTGCTGATCTGAGCTCTATTGCCACAGTGCCTTCTTCTTGTGTCTTCCCTCTGCCTCTCTTCATATGGTCTTCTTATAAGGACACCAGTCCTGGGATTTAGGGATCACCCTAGTCCAGTATCGCCTCCAGTCAAGGTCAGGTATTTTAACTTGACTAACACACCTGCAAAGACCCTGTTTCCAAATAAGTTCATGTTCCAGGGTTGTGTGTATACATGAATTGGGGGTGGGAATACTTTGAATCTAGTGTACCAATCCAAATAGTGGATTGAATCTAGTGTACCAATCCAAATAGTAGTTTCTCGTACCTCATTGATGAACAGACAACTTTTGAAGAAGGGAAAAAAACCCTCCCTCAGAAGCCCATGGTAGACTTGTTATTTTTGTAAACTTAGGTAAACATAAATAGCCAGATGTAAACTCTCTACTTGTAACTCTTAGGCAACTATAAAACCAATCCAAAGCAAAAAGCACTAGTAACATTCAGATTTAAGAACTTAACTTAATGTGACTACCCATGTTCTATTTCTGCAGAAACAGTTGCCACACAATCACTGTCCTCACAGGTCTAACATAGGTTCTTTTGTGTCCTTCACACTAGGGCCCACTGAGGCCTATGTGATGGCTTTGCTGTAACTATGGTAAAATCCACAGCACGGTGGGCCTTTGCTTGTCCAAGTCTGGTGCTTTTCAAATTTCTAAACCCAGATAACAGTGAGACATTCAGCTGATTTTGCATTCCGTCACCCACATACAACTGCAAAAGATTTTCCAAAACCACACTTAAAATATGACTCATTCAATATTTTCTCTTTTGTTCCATTCCATTCTCTTCTATCTTTTAAAAAGTATCAGTTATAACTCACTAAGTTAATTTCATGATTGACTATGAAATTCCACCCAATAGTTTGGTAAATTCCTTTAAGAGAGTATGCTGTGCACCTTCATGACAGGGACTCGGCAACCGTTTCTTGGATAGAACACCTAAAGCACAAGCAAAAAAAAGCAAATATAAATACACGGGGCTACATCAAACTTAAGTGATCAACAGAATGAAAAGGCAACCTGGGCCCTCCCTGGTGGTGCAAGGGGATAAAGCACAGTACTAGAAAGCTAGCTGCAGCCACCTCAGCACTAGTTGGATCCCCAGCCAGGGAGGTGACCCACAGGGTACAGCAGACCTCTCCTGTCTTGCCTGCTGCTCCCCTCAGCAGTATTTCAGTTGATCTGCCTGCTTTGCTCCTCGCTCTGTCTCTGGTGAATCCTCTCAGCCCCACACATCTGGACTATACCCCAGTTCTGGCATGCACAACTAAATAAATCTTAAAAAAAAAAAAAAGGCAGGGCCCTCCCTGGTGGCGCAGGGGGCTGAGGCACAGCACTGAGAAGCTAAAGCCACCTCCACATGAGTTCGATTCCCGCCTGCCCCGGAGGTGACCACATGGCGTGGCAGACCTCTCCTGGCCCGCCCGCTGCTCCCCTCAGCAGTGTACCTCCTCCATCTGCCTGCTCTGCACCCCACTGTCTCTGGTGAATCCTCTCACCCTCCACATCTCTGGCCTGTACCCCAGTTCTATATGAATAAATAAATAAATTTAAAAAAAAAAAAGGCAACTTATGGAATGGGGGAAAATATTTTTTGGATGTTAACTATCATGTACCTGATAGTTAACATCCAAAAAATAGAAGGAATCCTTACAACTCAACAACAGCAAAAGCCCTAAGTTGACCAGTTAAAAAATGAACAAAGAACTTAAACACACATTTCTCCAAAGTGAAATAAGCCAATCATGAAAAGACAAATACTTCCTGATTCCCATTGTAGGAGGTGTGTGGAGCAGCTCTTCTCTTAGAAGTAAGGAGAGCAAAGATGATTACCAGGAGCTGGAAGGAAACGAGAAGGGGGATTTTTGAATGGTACAGAACATTTTGTTTTTCAAGATGATCAAGTTTCAGAGATATGTTGTATAACACATGCATGTAGTTAAGGTGTCAGGACTGTACATTTAAAATGGTTGAGATGATAAATTTTAGGTTGGGTGTCTCTTATCACAATTTTAAAAAGAGAAGAGTATCCTGTGGGGATCTGGCTGCCTGTGTTGGGATTCTGGAGTCTTTTTTTGTTATATACATGTCTTCCATCTCGTCCCTCTAGTCTTCTTAAGTTTACCCATCTTAAAAAATGGAGTTTTAATAATAGCCCTTTCCCGTGGGTGACTGTGAGAATTAAATGAAAGGATACCACAAAATGTGTGGGACCTAGGAGGTGTCTCGCACACAGGACTTGGGAAGCATTAGCTAGTATTTTAATTTTACCATTAGTTCTTTTTTTAAAAAAAAATTTAGTTATTTATGCATACAGAACTGGATACAGGCCAGGGGGATTGGTGAGAGGATTCGCCAGAGACAGAGTAGGGAGCAGAACAGGTGGATCTACTGACATACACTGCTGAGGGGAGAAGCAGGCAAGGCAGGAGAGGGCTGCCACACCATGTGAGTGGGATCAAACTTGCACTGCAGCAGCTGGGGATAGCTTGCAGAGAAAGCTGCACCCTAACCTGCTGCGCCACCAGGGAGGGTCCTACCATTGGTTCTCAAGACAGCCTTTGTTTTCTCATTAATTAAGATAATTCAAAATGGCGCTGCTCCTTTCAAGAGGTTGCAAAATAAGACAATGATATTTTATTATTATTTCTCTTTTTTGAATTGCCACTGGAGAGGGCTGATTTAATCGAAGATACTTGGCTCATTCAAGACCTTTGCCTATTTTATTTATTTACTTTCCCCTTTTTTCCCTCTGTACTTCCTTCCTTTTTTCCTATTTATGGCTTGAGAATATGTTGTCTTGCAAAGCAGGAATTTTTTAAAAATGCATACATTTAAATTTAAGTAAGCATAATTGGCTTATAAATCACATTCTATGTCTTGCTTGTTTTCTTCTTGAGCCCAATTTTTCCCTTCTCTAAGACTAAATTTACATGCTTTAAAATGCTCAGACCTTAACAGTACAGTTCTGACAAAACATATATACCCATGACCATACATCTATCAGGATATAGACCTTTCTGTTATTTCCACAGAGCTTCCTCTAGTTGCTTACCTCATCCCTCGCTGAAGCATCCACTCTCCTGACTCTTGACCTTTTTATCTTAAATTAGTTCTGTTTATTCTAGAATTTAAAATAAGTGGAATAATATGGTATGCATCCTTTCACGTCTGGCTTCTTTCGCTCTATGTTGTATCTATGAGATCCATGTCGTTGTATATGTCCACAGCTTGTTCTTCTTTATTGCTCTGAATTGTATCTCACCATATAAATATTCTACAATTTCTCATCCTCCTGTTGATGGTTATTTGTGTTGTTCCCAGTTTTTTATTTTTGCTGTTGTGATGAAAGCTCTTGTGAATATTCCTGTACAAGTCTTTTTGTGGACATCTGTTGCCATTTCTCTTGGAGAAATGAAAGAAATGAAGTCCTCTGAAGGAAGATTATTATGTCAAAAGGTTGGTCTACATATAACTTTATAAGAGACTCCCCAAAGTCTGTATTCAGAATGAAAATATCATTGTACATTTCAGCCAACTATGTATAAGAGTTTCAGGTACTCCATCTCTGTCAACATTTTAGTTACTCTAATGGGTATTTTGTGAAATCACATTATAATTTTAATTTACATTTAATTCTCTAATGGTTAACAGTGTCGAGAACTTTGTAAAGTATGTGTTGGTTTTTCATATATCTTTGTGAAGAGTCTATGCAAGTTTTTACCTCTCTTCTTTTTTAAAATAGAATTGTCTTTGTACCACTGAGTTATAAGAAATCTTTAAATATTCTGGAAACTTGCCTATTTTTTTTTTTTATTTTTTTTTTTGTTGAAAAAAATTTTAAATAATATAATTGTTTATTTTTACATCATTTTGTGCATTTTTTCATCTCAGTTGTAATCCCTGTGGGCTTCCCATCACCAAATCACCCATGTGTTATCATTTGGTGAAAATTTTTAATTTTGATGAAGTTTTTACTTTTTTCTTTCCTGCTTATTACTTCCTGTGTCCTAACTAGTAAATTTTCATATGTACCCAGGTCACAAAGATATTCCCCTAAAAGCTTTTTTTCCCCCCTAAAAGCTTTAAGTATAGGTCCAGACTAATTCAAGTCAAATTAATTTTTGAATATGCTAGGTGATGGGAGACAAGTTCTGTTTTTCCCATATCCAGTCCCAACACTGTTTATTGAAAACACTTTCCTTTCTCACTGGATTGCTTTTGTGCATTGGTGAAAAATTGATTCGCCATATAAAAGTGGATCTTATTTTGCATTTTATTCTTTCCCTGCGATTTTTTTTTTAGTATCCTTATGCCAATACCACACTGTCTTGATTACTGTAGTTAACGTAGAAAGTTCTAAAATCAGATAGTATAAGCCCTCCTTTTCAGTTCTTCTTTTTCAAGATTGTTTTGTCTATCTAGGTTCTTCACATTTCCATATAAATTTTAGAACAAATTTGTCAACTTACATAAAAAGACATAGTGGGGTTATGATAGTTATTGCAGTGAATCTGTGGAAAATTTTGAGGAGAATGAATGGCTTAGTAATAAATATTTCAATCCATGAACATTGTATGTCCATTTAGTTAGATATTTAATTTCTCTGAATTGAGTTTTGTTGTTTTCTTTGTAGCATTTTGCACATCTTTTGTTAAATTTATTCCTAAGTATTTGTTCTTTGATAATATTGCAAGTAGAATTAGTTCTTTACATTTCCAGTTGTTTGATGTTATATTTAGAAATAGTGATTTTTGTATATTGAGTGTTGACACTTAAATTTCTCATAAATGCTAGAGAGTTTTGTTTTATAAAAGATTTTCATTATAAGCAATTATGCCATCTTCAAATAAAGGCGTTTCCCTTTCCCATTTAAACACCTCTTTTACTGGCTGACATCAGTGGGTCTTTTTTGTCTAGTGTCCTTGCTTTCTTCCACTGTCTATTGTCCTTTCTCTGACTTTTTTAAAAATATTTTTTCTCATTATTTACATATTTTTTAAATATTTTTTTTAGATTCATTTATTTATTTATACAGAGCTAGGGTACAGGCCAGAGGTGCAGGGGTGATGAGAGGATTCACCAGAGACAGAGTGGGAAGCAGAACAGGCAGACTGACAAAGTACACTGCTGAGGAGAGCAGCGGGGCGGGTCAGGAGAGGTCTGCTGCTCCATGTGGAACACCTCCGGGGCAGGGATTGAACGCATGCTGAAGTGGTGGCTTAGCTTCTCAGCGCTATGCTTTAACCTGCTGTGCCACCAGGGAGGGCCTGATATGCGTATTTTTAAAGGGGTTATCTAATCACTTGTTTAGTATGTTTACCCAAGAGCAGAAACCTCACGTGTTCCCAGATGGCTCACTGCAATGACAACTCCAGTCTACACCCTCACATCACAGTGTGTGGGATGCACTCACATCTAGCTTTCTAACTGCTGCCAGTCTAATAGTTACAAAATAATTCCTGTTCTTCTGATTACCAGTCTCTAGTGTTTAAAAATGTTATGTTGAAAGACCTGCAGAGAAAGCTCACCCCTTACCACCTCCTGCATGGGCTGCATGGGTACTTAGCCAATTTTTGATGGGCAAACCATTTTCACCTAAATCTCTCGTTGCTGGTGAGCTCAGCTCTTACCCTGTTTGTTTTCATCAAGAGTGGCACAGAACATAAGGCATTGCTTTCCGCATCTCACTTTCAACTGTTTTCTCTTCCAGACTTTAACCCCACTAGAAACCTTCCCAGAATCCACGACCCATGTCCCAGACTCCCCTGAGTCTCCGCGGAGCCTGACCACTACCACCACCAGCTCTGAATGCAGTAGCCCACAGTTGGACAGGACGGTCTCCCTTAGGTGCAGGCAAAAGCAGATCGCCCAGGATCACGTCCAGGGCAAAATACCAAGACTTTCTTTGCCTATAAAATTCCACCGCTTCTCAGAGAGTCTGAACCCAAACTGGACCTTGCGAAAGAGTGGCAGCAAGCAGCAGCATCTGATGTCAGAGCTATTCACCAAGATTCAAATAAAGGAGAAGCTGTCCTTATTCCCAGCTCACTGCAGCCCGAAGCAGAGGCTGGGTCACCTGCCACGTGAGTGCCAGGGGCTCAGGGCAGAGGAGCAGCACCAGCAGCACTAGTCTTTGGGTCTGTCCACCCTGTGTGTGGGGGGAGTGGAACCCCTGCCCTCAGGGACACTCCGGTGTCAGGGTGACACATGGTCCCTGTTCTGAGGCAGTCTCTAGTCTTAGTGGGAAGACAAGCAAGATAAAAATAGAATGTTGCCTCAAAAGTACTTTCTTCAGCAACTTCTCATATGTTCAGATGAACCCCAGTCACCTGTGTCTGTACCATTTGAGGGTAAAATATGATAGAACAAGAAGGAAGAGCAATGGCTCATTCTGATTCAGTGGCTTCATTCAGTTTCAGGCCAAGGGCCCCACGGAGCTGGCTTGCAGGGGGATTTGTGGTGAACCCAGCACCACATATTGTTGATGCCACTGACTTTGCTTTTCCAGAAAACCACTTCCTGCCCCCGGAGAGCTACTTGCGAAATCGATTCTCTGTCAAGAAGAGGCGGCCGCCCATGTCCTCGCTTCTCCTCTTGCAGAGTTCTCAGAGCCGGGATGTTTCCCTGCGGGACCTGCTGGTGGTCGCCACTCCAGCCCGGCTGGACCCAAGGCCTGGAAGGAGCCATATAGGTGCAGCGAGGGACCCGTACACTCAGGATCAGAAAGAACACAGTCACTGCCTGGTCTCCGGCCAAAAGGGAGGTGAGAGGAACTAGGTAGGTCGATCCATGTCCCCTTAGTGAGCCTGGCATGCTGGCAGACACTAGCTATAGATAGAGATGTTTCTGGAATGTTGGTTAGGTAGGTGGATAGATGGATTGAGAAAAACACAGTCAAGTACCCCATTAAGATAAACGTCAGTCAAAATGCCGTCCCCGACAGTGGATGTTTCTGCTATGTCGGCTCTGTTCCCACTGTCAAATACAGTTTGCCTCGTCTTTTGCTTATTTCTAGAACTGACAGTCACAGATGCTGGTCTCAGAAGCATGGTCAGGCACGAGGGGTTGATTTCCACACTTTGTGTTCTCAGGCCGCACTACCCTGGCCTAGGCAGGCCCCTGGCCCTGTGATGGCGAGTACTGAGGGACAGAACAAAGGGGAGGTGCCCGGGATGATCTGGATACAGAGACCTCTGAGAAGCCTCGATTCCCTGGTGTGGAAGGACCAGGCCAATGGCAGAACTGTCAGAAGCGGGAAGGTGGTATGGAGAAACTCAGGAGGCCTGGCCAGCCCAGACTTGCATGGAGCAGTTGGATCTGCGCTGTTTGCTCAGAGAAGGCAGACCACGTCAGTCTCCCTCACCTGCCACCCACATCAGTCTGCCCTGACCCCTCAGGACCAGTAGCTCTCAGGAGGGCATCAACCCGTGGGCATCCCTTTAGGTGCTTATGAAAATGCACATTCCAGGGTCTGCTCCCAGAAGCTTCAATTTCGTGTGTCCTTGTGGGCGGGTCAGAATCTGTATCCTGAGAAGCTCCTCTAGGTGATTCTCATGGTCCTCTCACCACCTTCAGATAAAAATGGGGCCTGTGTTCCCCAGGCTCCTTGATGATGAGTCATGTGGGGGTTATTGCTAAGCCTATATTCCTGAGGTCACAGCCATGGAAATTCTGACACAAGACATTGGGATGGGGTCCCAGGCATTTGTCTTTTGAGTTAGTACCTCAGGTGTGCTGGTGAGGACTGTCCAGTGTTGGACGCAGGCCTGGGCAGTGGAACCTGTGGCAGCAAAGACTGACCTGTAGGGCTGTTATTGGGGCAAAACACCCTGATCCTTATGGTGCTTAAACCCACCCCTACACTATTTGGTTTGTGATTTTCCAACACTGGAATTTTAGATAAATGTGGTTGCTAACTTATTGCTGCTTATGCTCTTAGGCTTTAAAAAAGGAAAGTGATGTAGCAGATTACATGGAAACTTCTCTTCAGTGTGACTGTTAAAATGAAGTTATAATGATCAGAAACCACATAGTGAAAGAGGGGAGAAAACTGTATTAAGAGGATGTGATAATAAGATGCTTCTTGCATTGATCACTGAATTTGGCTCTGAAACTCTTAGCAGAAAACAGTAAACAACATTTTGTTGTTTGGATTTATTTTGACTCCCTATATGTCGCCACTCTACTGGGGTGTCTCTGAGGGCAGGGACTTCCTGTCCTCCCCCCACAGGCTGGACGGTGCCCAAAGGTCAGCACTGCTTATACTGGTTACTCTTGTCTCCTAAGTTCTTGGCCCTGGCTGCTGGTTACACGGCATCAGCTCCCGTGAGCCGGTCCGAGAAAAGCTTCTCGGTGAATGCTCTGGCATCAGATGCTGCTGCTTTGCTGTCGTTCTTTCTTTCTTTTCTTTTTTTTAAAGGTTTTACTGATTTATTCCCACATAGAGGAACTGGGGTATGGTAGGCCAGAGGTGGGGACGGTGAGAGGATTCTCCAGAGACAGAGTGGGGAGCCCTAGGCCACCAGGAAGCCCCTGATTACTGTCATTCTTTAGCAAAATGCATTTTGGGTTCAGATTCCCTGAAAGGCTCTGGGATTATAGGCAGAAAATTTTTCAGTAGTTTTTCCTAGATGAGAAAGGTAAGTTACTCATCAAGTTAGACAATTCTTTAGGAGAGACTAACTTCCTTGCCTCTGATTTCTAAGCACAGTTTGCATGTGGAATCTTCTACTATGGACATGTGGAACCCTAGTGTGTGATGGCTAAAAGTCATGTTTTTTTTTATGAATATCATTGATGATAATAGCTACCCTTTTGTGGCAGCCTATTACATCTTGCAGATGTTTTAATGTAACACTTTTAATATTATTTAATATGGACTTTAATATTACTTATTATTTAATCTTTAATTTAATTCCAATTACAATTGTGCATTTTAGATTACAAAAAAAACAAAACCCTAAGGCTCAAAGAGCTTAATGCAAAACATGCCGAAGATCCCACAGCTTTTAAGTGGCGGGCAAGGATGAGTCAAATGTTTCTGATTCCTAAACCCCCCTCTCTCAAAGCCACAATTTTTTCTTTCAAATGGCATCTTTAATATTAGCCTTCAGTTAAGACCGAGGGCATAATTAATGGTTCTCCAGTGAAGGCATTTCTGCAGGTAGATGAGATGGCCAAGGCCCAGCAGGGCCTCCTAGGCCACTGTGTGGTGTCATCTGTGGTAGCATCGGGTCTCAGAGCTGGCCCTCTGCTTTTCATTCATGTGATGGCTCCTAAAAACATCTCTCCAAACTAATCACACCACAAAGGACTGACATATACAAAGCAAATTTGCAAAAGTCTAATTACATGCAGCAGAATATCCCTCTATCAACACACTGATTTATAAATGGAGCAGGATGTGGTGGGATAATGGGGTTTCCCAATAATAAATAATGGTTGAAAGAGAGAAAGAAAGAGCAGAGCAAGGTCCAAATGACGGGCCATTTGTTTGACAAATGTAATAATAACACCTTCCACGCATCAAGTTTATGTGCCACATCTATCTCATACAGTGCTCAGTTCAGTGCTTCAAGGCTGGTGAGGCAGACTTTATCGCCTCACCCCCAGTTTGCAGATGAGAGTTAAGGTCTGGGGGCAGTAAGTGGCTTGCTCAGACTCCCCCATGTGACGAGCACTGGACAACTAGTTAGCTGTTTCTTCCTCTGCACCTTTCTGCCCTGAACGCGGCATCTGTCCTGAACCTGACCCTGACCCATGGGAGAAGAGGCCCGACAGACGCGTCCAGTGTTCTGCTTAAATCTTAATGGTCCCCTCATTCTTCCTCCGAGTCCATTTGCACAGGTTGCTGAGCCCAAAGTTACAGATCTATCAACAGTCGAGCTGTAGGGGACAAACACCCATTTGTGGAAGTTAAAGACGATTAAAGGACTCCTTAAAGCGGTGTATTTGGTGCCTCTTGAACCCCTGGTAGCTACGCTGGGGATACTGATGAGGATGTTACAGTGGTAGCAATCGCCCAGCGTGGCCTGGGCCAACACACCCTTGCTTTGGGTGTGCTAAGAGCACTGCATACATTAAGTCAATCCTGCTTGGCCAGTATTGGTGTTGTTCCTTTCTTTTCAAACAAGGAAAACAAGGTTTAGGAAATAACTTGCGGGCCCTCCCCAGGGGCGCAGTGGGTTAGGATGAAACACTGCAAGCCAGCGGCAGCTGCTTCAGGTGCAAGTTTGATCCCCACCCCCGGGGGGGGGGGCTGACCCGCCCGCTGCTCCCCTCAGCAGTGTACGTTGTCATTCTGCCTGTTCTGCTCCCTGCTCTGTCTCTGGTGAATCCTCTCACCACCCTTGCACCTCTGGCCTGTGCCCCAGTTCTGTATGCATAAATAAATATATCTTAAAAAAAAAAAGAAAAGAAATATAACTTACCCTAGAGCACGGAACTAAAAACTCCTAAGCCTGCACCCCCAATGGCTAACACGTATCACCCCCAGGCAGTCCTCTTGGCTACTCTTAGTTTTCCATATCAGTTGTTCAGGACTGGAAGGGGTGCAGAAAGATAAATGTGTGGTGTGTGGATAATGAGTTTCTGATGATTGTGGATGTGAATCATCTGAGCAGTGTCTGAAGCACTAGCTAGGAATGGTGATGATGTGCTAATTGACTTGAATGTCCTGGAGACCATTTTAAAAGAAAATCTAACAAAAGTGGTGTTTTTTTCCCCCCCAGAACCAGACTGGATCCCTGCTGTTTTTTCCCCCTTTCCATCTCTCACTCCCAGGAAATGATTTGTCTCTTCCTACAGAGTCTACAGTGTCCATAGACTCCACTGAAAGTTTTGTTTTCTCATCCAGACATCCTGGCCTGTAACCAGCTCCTGTGAGGACCACGGAGGCCGCTCTGCCCGCCCAGCTAGCTCCCAGAGCTGGCAGACCATGACTTCTGGGAGGTATTGGTGCTGCCTCAGGAGCATTTGCCCCAGCAGTGGCATTTCTATGGGTCCCTTACATGGCACCGCCATCCAGAACACTCCCCTAGGTAGAGCACCAGGAGCGGAGGAGTGTTTGAGAGGAAGACTCGCAATTTCTGGGAGACCAAGGCCCTCACTCCGCCAACAGGTTTGTGTCGGTTGGTCTTCCACTCCAAAGAGAAAAGACAGAGAAAAGGCCAGAGGATAATGGAGAACTTTGAACCCGAGTAAGGGAACTGGAGCCATTAAACTTCCCCTGGTAAAGACCAGACCTCTCCCACCCCAGCTAACTCAATGCCCAAACACCTTCCTCCCATCTCCCTCACGAGCCCAACTCGGTGCTGCGGGCGAAGACCAGGTGAGGTGAGAGTGCCCAGCTGGCAGGCATGTCTCCTGCGGCCTGCTGAAACGAAGCGTCTTGCCAGCAGAGTACCTTAATAAAACAGGTTGCCATTCTTGATACTAGGGTGAGAAGCCTGGATCAGAGTGAGAAGGGGGGGTGGGAAAGACAGTGCACCTGGGCCCCACATGAGGAGGTCTGTAGCCCCTTGGGGGTTGTGGAGGCCATCTTTCCCTCCTGAATACACTTATGCGTTCCAGGGATGAGTAAGTGTACAGTGGGGCCTGCCCTCCCTGCTGGGGTCCTGGAGCCTGAGAGGGCCCCTTTGGGGCACTGTGGTTGTCGCTGTCCAGTGTCAGGCCTGGCGAGACCCCAGGCATAGCATCTCACTTAGTTTGCCGGTTAATTCTCCAGGATGTGTCCGAGGTTTTTGCCTCCTTTGCTCTTCCTGAGTTAGGGCCCTGGA